TTTCCCTGGTATATAGCATCTTGTGCCTATTTGATAATTTTCTGACAACTTTGAAACCTTTACTACATTGGTAGATTTTACCATGCATAGCTGTTAAACTTTCGTCTAGTCCATTGTAACATACTTTCTGCTGCTTATACTCATACACCCTACCCCAGTCTTTTATTGAGTTTAAATTCTCAGGGCTATCATTTTCATATCTTCTCAGGATTATCTCTGGTAATAAAATATTCACGCCCAGCACTTGTGAATTGGTCTGGGCAGAATGATTCAATATAACTAAAATAAATTTAAAAATACAAAATTATGCCATTGAGTTTCATCACAATTGAATAAATATACATTACAAATTTTGTCTGTAAAATTATGCCAACCACAGTAGCAAGATGGCACAGTATAGCACACATGCCCTAATAATTCTTGAGATACATATAAGAAATATATACTGCATTTTAGCGATTATAAAACCAAGTGAGAATTTTCAGCCCACCAAGTGAGCATAATGTTAAGAGGTATATACAGGCAGGGTGCAGTGTTCACGTTTGTAAACCTAGCACTCTGGGAGAGTGAGTGAGTAGAATGCTTCATCACAGGCATTTGAGAGCAGTCTGAGCCAGAGTGTAACCCTATTTATACCAAAAATAGAAAATATTAGTGGGGCATGGGGCAGACACCTACAGAACCAGAAACTCAGGAAGCTGAGGCCAGAGTATCTCTTGAGCCCAGGAGGTTGAGATTGCCGTTAACTATAATACCATAGCGCTCTAATCTGTGGTGAAAGACACTCTGTCTCAAAAATATATAACTATATAAAATAAAATAAGAAAAAAAGTGATAATGACAAAAGGTGCAAAATATGGGAAGAAAAGTTTATTCTACTTATAGACCACAAACATTCCCCCATCTGAAAGCAGCATTGTCCATATGAAAGTAAACTTTTTCCTCAAAAGAAAAATAGAGACCTGCATTAACTCTACTGGCATTTCAGGGCTTTTTTTTTTTTTTTTTTTGAGACAGAGCCTCAAGCTGTCACCTTGGTTAGAGGGCCATGGCATCACAGCTCACAGCAACCTCCAACTCCTGGGCTCATGTGAATCTCCTGCCTTCGCCTCCCAAGGAGCTGGGACTACAGGTGCCTGCCACAATGCCTGGCTATTTTTTGTTGTAGCCATCATTGTTGTTTGGTGGGCCGAGATTGGATTGGAACTCGCCAGCTTGGGTGTTTGTGGCTGGTGCCTTAGCTACTTGAGCCACAGGCACCAAGCCTTTCAGGGCTTTTCTAAAGATAGTTTATGTCTCGCATGAGGGAGAGTGCTCAAGGGAATGATGCTATAGTTTATAAAACTGACTGGGAGAGCTGAAATCAAAAGTAATATATTATGGCTCTGTGCCTGTGGCTCAAGTAGCTAAGGTGTCCGCCACATACACCTGAGCTGGCGGGTTCAAATCCAGCCCGAGTCCGCCAAACAACAACGATGGCTGCAACCAAAAAATAGCTGGGCATTGTGGCAGGCGCCTGTAGTCCCAGCTACTTGTGAGGTGGAGGCAGGAGAATCCCTTGAGCCCAGGAGTAGGAGGTTGCTGTGAGTGTGAGCTGTAATGATATGGTACTCTACCCAGGGCAACAGCTTGAGGCTCTGTCTCAAAAAAAAGGTCAAATATTGTTACAGCACCAGAGAGACTCCAAGACAACAGACAGATTCAGGTCCAGCAAGTGATCACAAGCTCTTAGGAGGAAATATGGGGAAAGTGCTTCAACTAGAAAATATCCACACAATTCCAAAGGCAAAATACTTTCAGAATGTATACTGAACTACCTCAAATCTTTAGTATAATTTGTGTCAGAGTCCGGTAGGATAAAGCCACATCATAGATTTTGTGAAAGCTGCTTTATGTGGCTCGGCACCCACAGCACAGTGGTTATGGCACCAGCCACAGACACTGAGGCTGGAGGGTAAGAGCCCAGCTAGGGCCTGCTAAACAACAATGACAACTGCAACAAAAAATAGCTGAGCACTGTGGTGGGCGCCTGTAATCCGGCTACCTGGGAGGCTGAGTAGAGAGAACCCCTTGAGCCCGAGAGTCTCTGAGGTTGCTGTGAGCTGTGATGCCACAGCACAGTGGTTATGGTACCAGCCACAGACACTGAGGCTGGAGGGTAAGAACCCAGCCAGGGCCTGCTAAACAACAATGACAACTGCAACAAAAAATAGCTGAGCACTGTGGTGGGCCCCTGTAATCCCAGCTACATGGGAGGCTGAGTAGAGAAAACCCCTTGAGCCCGAGAGTCTCTGAGGTTGCCGTGAGCTGTGATGCCACAGCACTCTACCAAGGGTAACATAGTGAGACTCTGTCTCAAAAAAAAAACAAAAGAAAGGTACCTTTTGTAATCCTCAAAAATCAATGAAAGATTACAACATATAAAAAATAATAGGGTGACATAACCTGAAGAAACAAAATAAACAATGTAGAATCAACCATAAAAAATACAGATGTCAGGGCGGTGTCTGTGGCTCAAAGGAGTAGGGTACCAGCCTCATATGCCGGAGGTGGTAGGTTTAAACCTAGCCCTGGCCAAAAACTACAAAAAAAAAAAAAAAAAAAATGAGACATCTAAATTACCCAAGAGTTTTATCTTAATGATGGTAAATGGATGAAATGGGAATGATACAAACAACTAAGTAAAATCATAAAAATGGAGATATCAACAAAAAAGAAAAGCTTTAAAAAAAGAGAAATTCCTAAGTTGAAGAACACAGTGGAAAAGACTGAGAAATTTTCAAAAGTACGAAAAAAATACAGAATATCAAACTCACCACACTTCAGCTAGGAGAAACACAAAAAGACACATGAAAATCAAATATGTGAAAACCACACAAGAGTATCCTGAAAGTCATTAAAGGAAACAGATGTGTCATCTATAAGCATGCTCTTCTGAGACTACTACTGGATTTTTCAACACACACCTTCCATATCGAAAAAGAGTCAAAGTGCTGAAAAAACAAAAATTTCAAAACACATATACTATATCCAGCAAAACATCCCTTCAATATAAACAAAATAGACATTTATCAAGATAAATAAAGGCTGAAAACTGCCAAATAAGAAATGTCAAAGGGGGCGGCACCTGTGGCTCAGTGAATAGGGCGCTGGTCCCATATACTGGGGGTGGTGGATTCGAAACCAGCTCCGGCTAAACTGCAACAAAAAAAACAGCCAGATCTTGTGGTGGGTGCCTGTAGTCCCAACTACTTGGGAGGCTGAGACAAGAGAATCGGCTAAGCCCAAGAGCTGGAGCCCAGCTCATCTCTTTGTGTGTATGTGTATGTGATGCTACTTGTCCTCCTGCCCCCACCAGGGCCCTGCATACACACAGGGATGCATCCACACGCTGGGCTTGGGATATGGCCCCCAGATCTCCTGCCTGAGGTGGACCTTATGCAACCAGGCAGGGCACCTGGAGGCTAGGGGAAGAGGGGAAGGTCAGGAAGGAGCTGTTGGGTGTCCCTGGGTGGGTGGGAGAGGGCAGCATGTGAGAGGCAGATGTGCACCGACACTGGGCATGAGAGATGTGAGCAGCCTCCAGGTGTACAGCATGAGATGTGTGTGGTAGTGGTGGGGTGTCTGCATGACCCAGAAGGGGGATGGGCACACGTGAGATGGGCACACGACACATGCATGGGCATATGCTTGTGCGGTGGTCATGTGCCTGAATACAGGGGCCACTCCCTGTTGGGCTGTGGCCCTTGGCCCTGCAGGCTTGGAGCCAGATCCCTCAGATGTGCTCTACCCAGCAGGCACAGAAATGTTTGCATAAAGTCCACCTCAGGCAGGAGCTCTGGAGGCCATATACCATGTCCAGTGCGTGCATGCATGCCTGTGTGTATATGGGACCCTGGTGGGGGCAGAAGGATAGGTATCATCACACACACATACCACATACAAATGGGCTGGGCCTGGCCCAGGCTCCAGGCACTGTCTGCCCTGGGCGCTGGGGAGGAGTGTGAACAGGTAGCACTGCCAGCCTGGTTAGGTAGGCCATGGAGGGGTGGGAGTTTGGGCAGGGTCTGAAGGACCAGTGTTAAGGGACAACTTCAGCCAGATGGGGCCTGTCCAGGCAGCTCTTCTCAGTTTGGGGGAAGGGCCCCTGTCTGGCTTCTGCCTGTCCCTGGCAGGTGCCAAAAATGGTGAGAGTGTAGGTGTTTGGCCTGGCTGGCCTCAGCACTCAGCTTCAGATACATGCATAGCCACGCCCATCACTAGGTCTTATTATCGGGGGTAGGGCTTATATTTAACAAATGCATAGAAATCCTGCTAGGGCTTATTTTTTGGATAGGTGTTATTTTCGGGGAAAAACGGTACAATCTAAGAATAGCTGGGTGGGGCAGC